CATATTGTTTTCCAAAGAGGTTGAACCATTTTGCAATCCCACCAGCAATGCAAGAGTGTCCCAGTCTCTCCACATCCCTGCCAGCATTTATTGTCTTCTCCATTTTTCATCTTTGCTGTTATTGTTGGTTCACCATTGACGTTTGATCTTTGACAATAGTTTCATTATAAGGGAGCCACTGCTTCTTCTTTGTTTTTTCAGGAGCTCTTGTAGCATAGTGGTTACGAATTGGGCTGCTAACCTCACGGTCAGCAGTTCGAAACTACCAGCTATTCCGCTGTAGAACGATGAGGCTTTCTCTTCCTGTAAAGATTTACAGCCTCAGAAACCCTGTAGAGGGTCACTATGAGTTGGAACCAACTCCACGGCACATGACAACAACAATACTGCTTTTTTTCACTCCTTTTCCTTTCCTTCTAAACAAGCTTCCTGGATGTGGGTAGAGGCTGGGGAATGGTTCAATTTGCTTCAAAGGAAGATACTGCTCTAGGCCACTTACTTGGGAAGCCTCAAGGTTCAAAGGAGAGGGCCAGAGAGGGTTAATATTTATTGCACTTTGCCCAGGGCCAGGAATTTTACATTGTTGTTGTGTTATGTGCTGTGGAGTTGGTTCCGACTCATAGCGACACTGTATAGGGCGTCTGAGGAGCAGTTGGTGGATTTGAACTGCTAGCCTTATGGTTCACAGTTCAGTGCTGATTCTACAGGACCACATTATGAGTTTTACGTAACCAGTCTTTTATTTCACCTTCACGATAACCCAGTGATTGACTTGTACAGCATTTAAAATCAGTTTACAAAAGAACAAGCGAAGAGTCAGAGAGAGTCTTTATTTTGTCCCAAGTTATACAGTTTGTAAGTGGTGGGCACAGGGCTGCAACCACAGCCTCCCTCTCTGCACTTCCCACATCACCCTGGGTCGGGGTTGGTTTGTTTCTCCTGCTTCTTCTTCATTAGTAACAACCTATGTGGAGAGGGCTGCAATTTCTCTTTCATGTACTATGTTTGCCTACCTTAGCCCAGAGTGTCTACCTAGTAAAGTGCTCAGAAAACATCCTCCTTCTTGCTGCCACACATCATGCAAGTAGGGGTAAGAGACAAGAGAAGGCTGGCGAGGTAGCTTGTGCTGCTGTCGCTGCTGCTAGGTGATGGGAGAGACTTCCGTCTGTTCTTTTTCCCTAAGGTGTTTTCCACAGCCTAGCTTCTTCCAATTCCTTTCTCCTCACCCTTCGCCTCCCAGCCTCAGTTTGGGTCTCAGCCCTACCCCCGGGGAGCATTCCTCACTGTTGAGCTGGCTGCATTTGGGGGCGCGGGGTCCTTGTTTTCTGAGCTTTAGCCAAGCTGTGCGTAGAGCCTCGTTCCCGGGCTCCTGAAGCCCGGCGGGCATTGACGTCAAGCGGCTGCGGAGCGCTGCCTACAGACAGTTGACCTGGACCCTCCTCCACACTCTTTTCCTAGCTCGCCCCCTCCCTTCTCCCAGTTCCAACACTCGGGCTTGCTATAAAAGGCGGGAGCGCGGGCTGCCTTAGCAGCTCCGAGTTTCAGCACCATGGAGAGCCCCCGTCTGAGGCTGCTGCCCCTCCTGGGAGCCGCCCTGTTGCTGTTACCTCTGCTGGGCGCCCATGCCCAGGAAGACGCAGAGCTTCAGCCGCGAGCCCTGGACATCTACTCCGCCGTGGAAGACGCCTCCCATGAGAAGGAGCTGGTCGGTATCCCCTTTGTCCTGGAGCCCCCTGGAATGGCTCTCAGTCCCTTCCTTTGTACGCCTTCCTATCCCCCAGCCGCAACACCCATTCCTAGAGATTGCGCGGGGAGCTGAGCGCAAAGCCCAGGCACCCGCTGCTAGCGGAGTATCGTCTTGCCAGCCAGAATGTAGACCGAATCCCCTCTTTTGCCCCTCGGATCAGCAGGAGCCTCAGCTCACTGGCTCTGGGTCCTGTGGTCACGACCTGGGACAGCTCTCTCGCGCTAACATTTCACCCCTGAGCTGTCTCGGAGCCCCAAAGCAGAATGTGTGTGGGTCCCTCATAACTAGGGAGGGAAGGGCGCACCTGGGCTGGGCTCGCAGCCAAGGCGGCAACTTTGAGCTCTGGGGTGGTGTGTTTCAGATCGAAGCGCTGCAGGAAGTCCTGAAGAAGCTCAAGAGTAAACGCATTCCGATCTATGAGAAGAAGTACGGTCAAGTCCCCATGGTAAGGCTTTGGGGTCACTCCCCATATTTTTCCATGAGAAAATACGCCACCTTAAATCATACACACGATCAATCCATAGGATGTGAAATTACCTAAATAGCTCAAGTAATGGGGTTGCACAATTCTGTGGACTCCCCTTTGGTCTCACCGCCAATCCTGACATTTCAGAGGACTGAACAAGTATACCAGGAACCAGCTTGTGGGTCAGTTGGGAAAGAGCACTTTCTGAGGATGAACTTTTGGTTTCTCCTCAGAAAAAGTCTCTAGAGTTAGAAGATCCCTTGAATCTATTCAGTTTCCACGACCACAGTCTCTCCCTAGAAAAACTGGAGCACTGCCAGCTTTTTTTGATTGTTTCAAGTTTTAGGGTCCAAATTAATTATTCAGGGCTTGTCACCTTCCTTAGATGTTGCTGCTGCTAAGTGCCATGGAGTTGGTTCCTAATCGTAGCGACCTTGTATAGGATTTCTAATTGTTGTTGTTGTTAAGTGACATTGAGTCAGTTCCGACCCATAGCGACCCTGTATAGGGTTTCCGAGGAGCAGCTGGTGACTAAAAGGCACAATTCACACAAACACCCACTTTCATTAGTTTTCCAAAGTGATCGGGGTTGTGACAAAGTATAGGTCTATTGTTTATTTTTTAGATAAAAGGTCTTGTTGATTTTTTTTTCCTTTGGGTGGATAAGAAAAGAAGCGGGAGGGAAATGTGATTTTTTTCTTTCTCTCCAAAATGTGGATGAAAGACGGAGGGGCCCAATTCAAGTTATTTATATTTATTTTTTAATTTTTAAAGTCATCCAACTGAAATAAGGGCTAGGCTCCCTGCATGGAGGTAATGGGGTCCAAGGGGCAGAGATTGCGTCAACAGGGAAACTGCCTCTTGGGAGTCTGGGTTTGCTCATGCCTGATGGCCATAGTGTGTTGTTTGCAGTGCGACGCTGGCGAGCAGTGTGCAGTGCGGAAAGGAGCGAGGATCGGGAAGCTGTGCGACTGTCCCCGAGGAACCTCCTGCAATTCATTCCTCCTGAAGTGCTTATGAAGAGGCGCCCACCCTCCTTCATTCATCCCATTTCCTTAATTCCCCCCAGAGGACCACACCTTTATCCCTGGAGTTTGACTCTGGCAACAAAGTTTGCACTTCCCTCTGAGAGCAAAGGGGCTCTTTTCCTGCTGTTTCCAAATAAAAGAACACATTAGATGTCACTGTGTGAAATGGTAATGCCTTTTATGGTGTGGATACGTGTGCAAAGTATTTTTTCATTTTATTTATTTAACAAGCTCTGTGCATCTTTGTGTAAAGCAGGAGGCTTTCACTTTGGAAACTGTATTTTTGTATGTGGCATGGCAGAATGAAAATTAGATCTCGTTACTCTTGGTAGATGACATCATCACCTGGAAAATTAGTCACCCCAAGAAACACAAATTGAAGCATGTACAAATTATACATAATAAAGTGTTTTTAATAATTGCTCCTCATGTATTGTTGTCTCTACATAAGTAATTTAAGTAGGAATGATGGGATTAATCATGCTGTTGTTTTCAAAGAAAAATATTTTAAAAATAGCAGTCTGTTGAGAGTAACATGACCCCAAGGAATTTTGATCATTATTAGGAGCTCCTCACTCAGGCTTTAGTATGCTGTTTTTTTCTTTGACTGCAGTGGAGGGGGTTCCTTGTTAGTGTGTGTGGTAAGATGAAGGTGGTTAGCATGGAGCAGGTAAGATTTTGAAAATGTAGGCCCTTAATTTTAACAGTAAGACCAAAAAAAGATTGATGGTTTCAGATTTTAGCTTAATGAAAAATAATTTTAAAAACCAGAACTTTTCTTTTGGCAACTCAATGTATTAAAATACACCTACTCTACACTAATTCTTTGTCTGAACTTTTGCATTTATGACGGCTTTCAAAAAAAAATTCTCAGGAGGTACCTCAGTGTGTCTGATGGTACAAACCACACCCAGGGCCCAGCCTGACCTGGACCACTCTCCACAGGCCACTTCAAGGATATATTGGCACCCCTGGTGAGGACTGGAACATATGAGAGACAGTGGTTGACTGGCTGCTGGATGCCTTTCTTGTTTGTGCAAGGCATCTTAGTCTGGCCGTGGAAGGCACAGTGTGCCAGTGAGAATGATGCAAGATTGTGGGTTGGTAGCAGGAGGCCAGTGAGGGGCCTGAAGGTGCCAGGGATGTTGATGGGGAAGGGGGCAGGGAGAGAAAGGGATTGTGCAGGGCTTCAGGGTGGGGAAGATGGAGTTTGAGCAAGGTCCATGACCACAGTGGATGCTGGCAAGGAGAGGTGGGTTCTGCAGTGCTGGGGAAGGTCTGATGGGGAAGTGGGGCCCACCATATCATGTGTATCCTGATACACGTGTGTGTGTGTATGTGTAGGCGCCTGATGGGAGGCGAGTAGGACCAGGAAACATCATCACTGAAGACAGGGCACATTCCCACTCCCACTAATGGGCATTTTTGCATAGCAACCTGGTCTTTGGAACCTAACCATATTGATAATTGAGGAGTGGGTGTACATTGATAAAATATAGAACTTTTGGGGATTGTTGCTGTTAAATGCCATCAAGTCAGTATTGACTCATAGCAACCCTGCATAGGGTTTCCAAGGGGTGGTTTCGGTAGGATAAGCGCCACACCAGGACTCCTTGGGGAATTATAGTTTGCTCTAAAGGAAGAGAAACGGGTATATGAAGTGCTGCTGAAGGTGTGAGACCAAACCTTTCCCACCAGTAAATATACAATTTCAGGAAATGTTTCATTCAAAGGAAAAATTCATTTCAGGAAATAAATGATTTTTGAAGTGAGCCAATAAAAATGGGAAGCACAGATTCAACCTAAGAAATAAAAGATCTTTCTTTCTTTATTAATGTTTTTATTGTGAATTGAGTGAAAGTTTACAGAGCAGATCATCAGTTTTACATTCAACAAATCATATACTTTGTTTCATTACAATGATTATAATCCCCTCTATGTACAGTATTTCTCTCTATTCATTTTAGTTCTTTTTTTTTTAAACACTCAGGCATATATAATAATTTATACCATCAAAAGGCACATTCTGCAAGTCTGTCTCCTGGCCATCAGCTCTCAGTTCTTTTCTTCCCATGAATCTAGAGTCCTCAACCACTCCCTTTCTCCATGTCCCTATCTCTGCCTCCATCTCTGGTATCATTGCTTCTCTGGATAAGGTCCTTCATTCTGCTTGTGCTCTTCTCCCTTGATGGTCCTAGGGTCCTCTGTTTCTGGACTGCAGGATTAACTACTTACTGTTTTTTTTTGTTGTTGTTTGTTTTTTTTTTTACAAAATTTCTACCTTTACAATTGTGACAGGCACAATTAGTCATGATAACAATTACTACTATTGAATCATAAGAATCTTAACCCAATCTCTTTTCACCAGACCCACCTAGACAAGATGAACACTATTCAGTGGGGACTCTATCTTCCCTCACACACTCTTAAACTAAACTCCCTCTTGAAACCTTGTAAGCCAGTCACTTCGTGCCTTTATTGCCCTCTCATTTTAGGTATCCAATGTCTAAGTTGCCAGTTCCTATCCACCCTGTGTACAGAGGGGATAGCACTGATAATTCATGTGAAGACTCCTTCCCTCTCTGTTGGTATTTAGAGATACTACCTCCATGAGTATAGGTCAAGTTCATCAAATTGTATCAATTTACACTTATTTCCTTTACAAAAAAAAAAAAAAAAACTTTTTTATCTTCTTCTAGTCGAGTTCTGATCATCAAGCCATCGAGGCTAGGCCAAATGGGTACTATCTGCAAGTTTGGGTGTTCTTGTGCATCTGCCCTCACTTCGTATCAACTGGATGCTTCACTCTCAGCCCTAGCCCTCTGTGGCTATGTTCTTGTCCATAGACTCAGGAGTCCCCAGGTCTCATCACACTGTGGACCAACCAGCCCTTTCTCTTTTTTCTCTCATCTCCATGTCAATGGGAGTCCATGGAATGTGGTCATACTCAGTCAATTTATTCATTGCTACCTTTCCCCCTCTTCCACTCACCAGTAGACCAACATGGTCATTATCAAGCTTACATGCCTGCTCATGTGTTCCCTTCGAATTTCAGTCTTAGAGGGGGGTTTGTCCTGAGGGAATTTGATTGCTTGCCTTGATGGCTTCCTGGTGAAAAACTTGCTTATTCTTGAAATACAAGATCTTAAATGAAAAATTTGTTGTTGTTGTTGTTAAGTACCATCACATAGGTTCTGACCCATAGTGGACCCGGTATAGGATCTATGAGGAGCTGCTGGTGGGTTTGAACTGCTGACATTTTGACTTGCTGTCCAGTGCTGATCCTGCAGCACGACACTTCCTGTAAATGTTTCTGGGTAGTCTTGTTATGTGCTGTAGAATAAGTACTGAACTGCTAACCACAAGGGTGGAAGTTCAAACCCACCAGCTGCTCCTGGGAAACTCTACACAGAACTCCTATGAGTCAGAACTGACTCAAAGGCATTTACAACAACAACAACAAAAGAATCCTTGCCTGAGGTCATATTTTCAAGGTTTTAAAACAAGCTAGTTTTTCCATACAGTTCTTTCATGTATTTATTTATTAATTCATACCACACATTTTTTAAGTGTCTGCTATGTTCTGTTGTTGTTATAAAGAGCTGTTAAGGCAGTTCCTACCCACAGCAAACCTGTATAGGATTTCCGAGGAGCAGCTGTGAGTTTGAACTGCTGACCTGTGGATTGCAGTCCACTGCCGATCCTACAGTGCCACACCAGGAGTCCAGTATTCCTCGTGGGTGCGTGTGTCATGTAACACCTATAATGAAGTTCTGAGACAATAATGGTGAACAAGACATGGAATCTGTAGCCTATTGGGAAAAACAATAAGAAAAAGCAAAGAAAAAGAAAAAAGTCATTAGAAACTCTATGAAAGACACCATGATAGCAGTGAAGGATATAATTGAGTTGAGTTGAAAGCATAAGGAGCTAGTCATGTTATAGGTAGGGTGAGTGGAGGGAGGAGAAAGGATGAGTGCTTCAGGCATAGGGTATAGTATGTACAAAGTTCAAAGACAAGATAGAGGTTGATATGCTTAAGGAACTGAAAGAATACCAGTGGATTCTTACAAAATGAATGACAATGGGGAGAAGTTCAAGGAGCAGTCTCTATATAGAGTTCTCTGGGCTCTCACTAGTGTACACTGTTGTCATAATGAAACACCAGGTGAATATAAGTAACCCATGGTCATAGATCAGGAGCACCTCAAGAGAAAGCTGGGCCAGCAGTGAACAGGGTGGCTGTTATGGAATTGACTTTTCGTTTTCGTTTTCTTCTTGATGTTGTTGTTGTTGTTAGGTGCCATTGAGTTAATACCAATCCATAGCGACTTTATGCACAGCAGAAAGAAACACTGCCCAATCCTGGGCCAACTTCACTATTGTTGCCACACTTGAGTCCATCAATGCTGCCACTTGGCCAATCCATCTCATTGGGGGTCTTCTTCTTTTTCTCTGATCCTCCACCTTACCAACATGATATCCTTCTCTAGTGACTGGTTTCTCCTGACAATATGTCTGAAGTATGAGAGACGAAGTTTGGCCATATTGGCCTCCAAGGAGCACTCTGGCTGCACTTCTTCCAAAATGGATCTTTTGGTTTATTTGCCAGCCCACGGCACTTTCAATATTCTCCTCCAACACCATAACTCAGAAGCATTAATTCTTCTACAGTCTTCCTTATTCACTGCCCAGCTTTCGCATCCATATGAAGTTATTGAAAATACCATGGCTTTGGTCAGGCGCACCTTAGTCCTCAAGCTGACATCTTTTCTCTTCAACACTTTAAACAAGGTCTTGTGCAGCAGATTTGCCTAATGCAATACGTCATTTGATTTCTTGACTGCTGCTTCCTTGAGTGTTTATAGTTGATCCAAGAAGAATTAAGTCCTTGACAACTTCAATCTTTTCTCCATTGATAAGAATGTTGTTTATTGGTCCAATGGTAAAGATTTTTGTTTTCTTTACACTGAGATGTAATGCATACTGAAG